TAACGGTAGCCACCTGCCACAGGTAACAGTAGCCACCTGCCACAGGTAACGGTAGCCACCTGCCACAGATAACGGTAGCCACCTGTCACAGGTAACAGTAGCCACCTGCCACAGGTAACGGTAGCCACCTGCCACAGGTAACGGTAGCCACCTGCCACAGGTAACGGTAGCCACCTGCCACAGGTAACAGTAGCCACCTGCCACAGGTAACGGTAGCCACCTGTCACAGGTAACGGTAGCCACCTGCCACAGGTAACGGTAGCCACCTGCCACAGGTAACAGTAGCCACCTGCCACAGGTAACGGTAGCCACCTGCCACAGGTAACGGTAGCCACCTGCCACAGGTAACAGTAGCCACCTGCCACAGGTAACGGTAGCCACCTGTCACAGGTAACGGTAGCCACCTGCCACAGGTAACGGTAGCCACCTGCCACAGGTAACAGTAGCCACCTGCCACAGGTAACGGTAGCCACCTGCCACAGGTAACGGTAGCCACCTGCCACACGTAACGGTAGCCACCTGCCACAGGTAACGGTAGCCACCTGCCACAGGTAACAGTAGCCACCTGCCACAGGTATCGGTAGCCACCTGCCACAGGTAACGGTAGCCACCAGCCACAGGTAACGGTAACCCAACCTGATCCTGGCAACCACTGTGTCGCACAGTCTGGTCCACGTTTTGTGCCGCCCATAAATATAGGTTTCAGATCTGAACAAATCATAGCTCTTTATACTAGTACTTTCAGGTCGTTGGGAGTCAGTAACTTCTTTTAGAAATTACTGCAGTTAGCTGTAACGTATGTGACACGTATTACACGCGTTAGCCTAAACCAGCAGCCAATACCTGCTGGAATCCCTAGAACACAATCCACCAATCCGTCACCACCAAGTCCCCAATTACTGGTGGGTGAACAGGTGCGTTTACTGGTGGCGGTGTGGTCTGAGAGCTGGAGTGGATGCCGAGGCTGAAGACCAGGTGGATGTGTGAATGAGATACTCTGTGGTGGATTACACTCATGTTAAATTCGTGTGTGGTGGATCATATCGGTGCAACTGATGTACAGGCGTCACTGTGCAACCTCTTCATCAGTTGCAGTGGGGTTGTAGCCTTGCAGGGCTCCCGTCACCGGCTATGGGAAGCCTCAGGCCTCCATATATCATAGACAACATCTTAAAGACTGTCCTGAGCTTTGAAGAGTTGGTACACATCCTTCCACACACTGAAATGGTTAATATCTTTACTACCATTAGAGCTCTATTAGAGACATTAGAGCATGTCTGGCCACGTCTGTGGTAGAATAATAATAATAATAATAATGAAGATAAAGATAACCTGATATCGTACACTGGCTATCATACAATATCTAGTGTTTAAGTGATGGCAGCTACGCAAGATCTGCCGTGTGCACATTGTATATAGCTGCCGTGTGCACATTGTATAGCTGCCGTGTGCACATTGTATAGCTGCCGTGTGCACATTGTATAGCTGCCGTGTGCACATTGTATAGCTGCCGTGTGCACATTGTATAGCTGCCGTGTGCACATTGTATATAGCTGCCGTGTGCACATTGTATACCTCCCGTGTGCACATTGTATACCTCCCGTGTGCACATTGAATACCTCCCGTGTGCACATTGTATAGCTGCCGTGTGCACATTGTATAGCTGCCGTGTGTACATTGTATAGCTGCCGTGTGCACATTGTATAGCTGCTGTGTGCACATTGTATAGCTGCCGTGTGCACATTGTATAGCTGCCGTGTGCACGTTGTATAGCTGCCGTGTGCACATTGTATAGCTGCCGTGTGCACATTGTATACCTCCCGTGTGCACATTGAATACCTCCCGTGTGCACATTGTATAGCTGCCGTGTGCACATTGTATACCTCCCGTGTGCACATTGTATAGCTGCCGTGTGCACATTGTATAGCTGCCTTGTGCACACTGTATAGCTGCCGTGTGCACATTGTATAGCTGCCGTGTGCACATTGTATAGCTGCCGTGTGCACATTATATAGCTGCCGTGTACATTATATAGCTGCCGTGTGCACATTATATAGTTGTCGTGTGCACATTGCATATAGCTGCCGTGTGCACATTGTATAACTGCCGTGTGCACATTATATAGCTGCCGTGTGCACATTGTCACCTTGACTGTGCAGAGCGGCTGCGAAATTCTCTAACTCTCACATGGAGGATGGAGGGAGGGATGTAGAGGTCGGGGAGGGAGGGAGGGAGGGAGGGAGGGAGGGAGTGAGGGAAGGTAGACGAGATAGAGGCATGATAAAATGAAGGAGTACCTGCCTCTCAGTGGGGAAGCCAGGGTTTACCTGGTAGCATGAATCATGGTTTACCTGGTTAGGTAAACTAAACGCTACAATTTGCGCTCTTGTCGAAGCAGTGTACCTGGCGGGTCATTGAGCGCTAATGGTAGTAAAGATGTTGTTGTTGTTGTTGTTTAAGATTCACTACCCGGAACAAAAAAAAGTTCCAAGTAGCACGGGCTATGGTGAGCCCGCGGTTACTAAAGATATTAACACGTTCAGTGTGTGGAAGGATGTGTACGAGCTCCTCAGAGCTGAGGGCAGTCTTTAAGATGTTGTCTAT